TTCAAATGGAGCTCATTGACCTGCAATGCAACTCTGACCTCAAAGCCAAGTTCAGGGAGATGAGTGGAAAAGCAGACAAGCATGGGCAATTTTTGAGAGAATTGCCCCCCAACTTCCCTGAGCTGAACTTCAATAAGTCCAAGTACAGGTCTTAGACTTACTGATGATCATCTTCAAGCCATACTGAGGGTCTCAACTGCTTCCTCTCTCAAGCCAAATGTGGTTCAGATTTGTGAAAAGAAGCGCTGTCAAGTATCTGGCAGCAAGGAGTAGGCAAGAGGAGCCATGTTCAGAAGAACCGTTCATGATTTTCACTCAATGTTCCATTCATGTTCAAAACACTTCATGTTCAGAAGAAATCATTAAAACTGTTAACTGTTAACATTTGAGGACTTTTTTTAAAACTTTATTGTGGAATCCCTTACGCGGCCCACCCTCACCCAGACTCTGCCTCCAGCGGCCCCCAGGTAAATTGAGTTTGAGACCCATGTCTTAACAGATATGGAGACTCAAGCGTGTGTTACTGAAGCCACAAGCCCATGTCCCTGAGCCTTAGAAACCAAATGTAATCTATAGTCCGGCAGCTGTTTTGGCAATTTTGTCAGCAGTCACCTTGGAATAAAGAATAAAACAGATTCAATTTTAAAGAGATTCATTGAAGAATTATTAAAAGTTGTCATAAAAGCTTTAATGAAGCTCTGGGGCGCAGGAGCAATACAAATGCTTGTCTGTACGAGAACGCCCGTTGCAAGCTAGTGCAAGTTATATTTATAGTATGAGTGTGGGCAAGTTAACCTCAGTACTATTGCCACTTGTGAGATTATCTGGCCAACAGTAACTCAGAAACAGGGAAAATGTCCATGCAATTGTCAAGGTCTTACAGGAACCCGAGAACAGATAACAAAGTAGCATCTCCCATCACTGGCAAGCACACATAAGGTCAGGCTGGTTATTTCAGTGTTTATCCACTGACTATGTGAGTTTCAGTACAAGTCAAATGGTGGACAATACCACATACCACCATCAAGATATGATTTTTGCTTTTTCTATTAAAGGCAAAATACACTGCAAGGATGTTTCGGAGCTCCAGAACAGAAAGGGAACAAAGGTTTTTCAGAAGGATGTAAAACAAAGAATAAAGTGGGGTGGTTAAGGAAGTGGACTTCAAAAGCAGATGATTTCATTGCGTGCAGTGGTGTGCTGTGTCACGATGACAAGTAGTTCACTTTTACTTCTCTACATTTAACTTAAAACTGGAGGAAGTGAGGTTTGTCGAAGAGAAACATGTTTTGAGAAAAAGATGATGCCACAGGACCCAATTTCCACAACCCTTTTTCTAAACTTGAAAAGTTGGGGCAGTAGATATCCGTCCATCCAACCATCATCGTCCGCTTATCCGGGGCCAGGTCGCGGGGGCAACAGTCTGAGCAGGGACACCCACACTTCCCTCTCCCCAGACACTTCCTCCAGCTCTGGTGGAGGAGTTTAAGTATCTTGGGGGTCTTGTCCACGAGTGACGGAAGGATGGAACGTGAGATTCCTACCCTCACCTACGATCATGAGCTTTGGGTCATGATCGAAATAACAAGATCCCGGATACAAGCGGCCGAAATTAGCCTTCTCCGCAGGCTGGCAGGGCGCTCCCTTAGAGATAGGGTGAGGAGCTCTGTCACACGAGAGGAGCTCGAAGTAGAGCCGCTGTTCCTCCACATCGAGAGGAGTCAGCTGAGGTGGCTTGGGCATTTACATCTGCCCTCCATACGCCTCCCTCGGGAGGTGCTCGGGTCCTGTCCCTCTGGGGGGAGACCTAGGGGCAGTAGTTATGCCATCATCTATTTAGCAAGCAAGCCCAAACTTAACATTAATGAAACATCAACAGCATCAGTGACAGCTGGGGAGGCACTGCTACATACCAATGAAAACCTTTTCTTTTTCTTTTTTTGATTTCTTATCACCTTATCACCAGGAGCCAATGTAAAGGCTAAAGAGCCACATGTAGCGATGTGTCGTTCGCGAGTGATTCGTTCAAAATGAACGAATCTTTCATATGAGTCGTGACTCCCGAGTCATCTGAAAGATTCGTGACTCGTGACTACCGAGTCATATTAAATATTTATTCATATTGAACTCACGAATCACTCACTGCTAACAAATCACTCTCTGCGAACTAATCTTTCACTGTGAACTAATCTTTCACTACGATCTAATTACTCTGTAAACTAATCTTTCACTGTGAACTAATCTATCATTGCAAACGAATCACTCTCTATGAACTAATCTTTCCCCGTGAACTAATCTTTCGCTGTGAACTAATCTTTTGCTGTGAACGAATCATTCTCTGTGAACTAATCTTTCGCCGTGAAGTAATCTTTTGATGCAGACAAAAATAAGACCTGACGAAGTTCTTCTGCCGGTCTGTGCACTCATAGTTATTTGTGCCTTGTGTGTCTTTTGTTCATAAAACAGGCCACAAGACAAACTCTGCACAGCTGTAATGATCTAGAAGGAGTTCTCGACAAAACCCTCTGTGGCATCAGTCGCCCTGTGTATCGTGGCCAATCTGCTGTGAGTCCCCTTTAACAGGCAGATCTTTAGTGACTCAGATCTTTAATATTTTTAACGTAGCCCATCACATAGGAACTCCTACATCTCTGTTGTTCTTATCTGTGCAGGCCACCTTTCAGTCTTCTTTCTACATTATCACTGACTACGAGTGGAATGACACCATCTCTGTGACCGTCACCGGAAGAAGGTAGTTGTACTTGCTCTGGAATTATCAGCTCTTCCGTTACCACAGCCGGTGTTTGAAGTTCAGATTTTTTTACTGCCTTTTCTTAATTTCTCCTCAGTGACAATGCAAACATCACTACGAACAATACCATCACCAAAGTCATCCCGGTACAACTAGAAATAAAGATGGCTATAACAGTGTAAGTGTCACACTTTCAAGAAAAATCTAAATACGATATATTCACTTCACATGCCCAGTAATTTGATAGTGTCGTCAGTGTGTGTTCTTTTGTCCAAAATCAAAGACAGGGACATCGAGTGGTGGCCTTTAAGCTGTTTTTATTACAAAGCGTACAAGGGAAAGTGTTACAAAGTACTTTCAAAGCAATAGGGGAAAAAAACGATCTTAATGCCGGTTAATCAGGAACACGAACTGACTAAATGTCCCTGGACCTCTGAATTTATACAGAGATACAAACAAAGTTTGAAGCGGGGGTGGATTGTCTTCCAACAAACTTTTCTCTGCAGTTACATTGCCATGGTAACCATAGGGCATCTGTATCCCCTGCTGCACATGTGGAACCGTGTAGGCAGGCTGTGACCTTTCATGTCTATGCTGAACTTCTTCAGACACCTTTTTGCAAGAAGTCTAGTTCGCCCCTCGTACATAGAGCTCACAGGCACATAGTTCACACCACATGCAAAACACTTCTATCTTAAAAATAGTTTGTGGTCGGGTTACACAGTTTAAGAAACGCAATATGCAGAAATCACAAGAAAGAAAAACAATTCGTGGAAACAATATGCGCTCAGGGTCTGGGGTGTAGCAGAAGCATGTGGTTAAGTGTTTTACAATGATAAGCGTTCATTTAACCGACCATTCAGAATCCCCATATATGGACACAGAGTTTTAGCAGAGCAGTCATATTCCTACAATACATAGATAGATAGATAGATAGATAGATAGATAGATAGATAGATAGATAGATAGATAGATAGATAGATAGATAGATAGATAGATAGATAGACGATAGATGGATGGATGGACGGACAGACAGACGGACGGACGGACAGACAGATAGACAGATAGACAGACAGATAGATAGATAGATAGATAGAGCACCAAAACAACAGAAATACACAAGAATAGATTCAATTAATATCATATCAAAGAATAGGGGAAACTGGGAAAGTGGATATTAGTAATTTAGTAGATTAGTAGTAGGTTATTAGGTAATTGTTGTTGTCCTGGTGCGGTGTTGTTAGATTAGAATTCTATATCCTAAAGTATATGAAATGATCTCTATACTATGTATATGCGTATATGAGCAAAACAAGTATAACTATAAAAACGTTGTGACATGAACAAGTATAAAATTGTGTAAACAAATTAAATATTAATTAAGCAGTTAGATAGACAAAGGCAGCTCAAGCAGATATAATGGTGTATGAGGTGTATTACAACTAGATTTATACAGCTAGTATTTCTAGGAATTACTGTATACAATAGATAGATAGATATAATAGATAGATATAATAATATAATATAATATATATAATAACATAATATAAATAATATATAAAAATATAAATAAAATATATAAAATAATAATAATATAATATATATAATAATAGAATAGATAGATAGAATAGATAGATAAAATAGATAGGATAGATCTTAGTTATACATATTCATGTGTACACATATACATACACACACATACATTATATTTACACATGTATACACACACACACATTAATGTACACCCCCACACAGATACATACGTAACGTCAACATGTTTGGGATGATACTTGAAAATGATTTATTGTTATTGCTAACTGTCATAATATTTATTATCCAAGCTGACATGTATTTGCCCAACGAGCCATCTAATCTTCCATCAGGCTAGCTAAACTTTTTTTTGTGCTCTGACGTCGTCGGAAAGTGTACGTGTGCTGTGGTGAAAACTAGTTCTATAATTTAAAAATTGAATGAATTAATATAGAAGTCTCAGCACTATTTAAAACTCTTATGATTTTCAGAAATGAAGGCAGCACCACATATCTGAACTTCACAACAGATGATTACGGACCTAAAAAAGTGGAAGCCATTTACAAGGTAAATCCTGAAACTATGACCACTTGTGAGTCCGCCTGTTCTTCCATTTCCTGAAAACTCTATTGTGAAATAACAACTGGGCGATTTCCCAAAATAATTTGTTCAAAGACAGATGCAATGTGAGGGCAGGGAGGGGGTAGATTATACTGTGACATGAAACCAAACTACCGTTTGGTAGTTCGGTTTCATAACGTCATAGAGTCCTTTGAGTAAACAAAAGGAACTAAGTAACTGGTGTTCAGCTAATGTTGACGTTAATGATGACAGCAATTGTGCAACACATTAAGCACTGTAGTCGTGTGACATCATTACACAGAAGTACAAAAGGAAGATGTTGATAATTTATTTTATCGGACCACCTAACCTTGTTGTTCACAGGTTGCTAATCTAGGTTTAAAGGCTTTTCCTGTCAACGTGTCCCTCTTCTTACCAACTAAGCTGGAGCATGACTTTGAAATGATGGACTATCACGTGTCTGTGAGACAGGTACTGGCCTCAGTCCACTATGTGATGACATCATGTTACAAAGTCTTATGAGCCAATTATCTGGAGAAAAGTAGCATTTCATTCAGATAAAAATTATCTTTATTCTTGGCTATTCTAGTTTAGTGATGAATATATAAAACATATACAATATATAATATATATGCATATATATATATATAACTATATATATATATATATATACATATATATATATATATATATATGTGGTATTGTCTCTTGTTCGGCAACCGATTTATGGTTCGACAAGCGGGGCAATTTTTGGTTAAAATTTTGTTCATGAACGAATTGTTCGAAAAGGGAGGTGTTCGACAATTGAGGTTCTACTGTATATAAAATATTTTCTTTCTGTAAAAAAGGTCATTGTAATAGGTATGTTTTTTAAATATTATCCATGGTACAGTTAAGCAACTGTAGAAACAGGGTTTTTAAAAACAATGGGAAAATTTGCCCTTTTTTTCCTGTAGCTCCTGTAGTCTGGTACAGACACCAGAGCTAACGTTACCTACCACGTTTTGGCTAACACGAACAAAGTGTAGTGTCACCGTCTTTTTTCAGAGGCGGATTGCAAGAATCATAAAACAACAACTCTGAACAGTTTGCGCTAAATGTGTTTTTTTTTTTTACCTACAAATTTGTAATTGTTACTTTCAACTTTCAAAAACTGTTGATAATAATGATCCTCAATAATGATTTTTATCAGAAAAAAAATAACTCTTCTATAACTTTTCACATTTATATACTTATGTTATTTAGTAATATGTTATATTTTTGCTTATACACCCTCCTAACTAAATGCTACATACTTAAAGAACAATATTTCTGTCTTTTTTTAACCTTTAAGAACAAAACCACATGCAGCTTAACAGATATCAAATCTGAAGTAAGTAAAACACATTCATTAACAAATAAATGTACCAAATTAGTCATGACAACCTAAATCTACAAACCGAACAAACTGCTGCTCTTGTGCTACAGTACTATGGTATGCCAGAAAATGAAAGCAAAGTCATAAAGTGCGATACCTTCGTCCTGGAAAAAGAATCGTCAGCTGAGTTTAAACTGTCTGGACAAGTCCATTTCAAGGATCTCAAAAAGAAGGCAGAGGTACGAGACACAAACACAAACACACAGAAATACAAACAAGGGTTAGAAATCAGCTTTAAAAAAAAAGTAGAAAGCCCAAAAAAAACATATGCTAAGCTAATAGTTAGCTAAAACAGTATAGTTATAGCCAGTTTTTGGTCAGAAATAGCCTAATGGTTGTTATGGTAACAGGTTAGTCACAATGCTAAAGATTTAACAAACAAATTCTTTTTCAATGCTAAAGATTTAACAAACAAATTCTTAGCATTTGGCACCTCACCGCGCCGCCACAGGGTGGCCCGCAGAAGTACTGCATTAGCCCAAATTGCTTGAAGGTAGCTGAAAAATCTTTAACGCCACCTCATAGGCAGGCAAAAGCTGAAGGACAATAAACTGAATATTATTAAAATTGTGAAAACTATCTACATTTAGCTGTAACTTTAACACTATAATGAAGCCTAAATAATGATTAGATCGAACAAAAAGTCCAAAGAGTCCAAACTCAGAATATGGTATTAACCTAAAGATCATTTTTAGTATGTATGAAAATATATAAAAGCTTAAATAATCCCAAAAATATATTATCATATATTATCATTATTGACAGAATTTGGTTATGAATTAAAACTATTTTTTACATTTTACATTTGATTAAATAGACTAGATCTTGATATAGACACAACAATACAAATGAACTGTACAAATGTGACTGCTGAGCATTTATCCTGCAGAACATTGCCTTTTTGAAACGATACACCGGAGAAAGCGGTGAAGTTAAATTCAGAAGTTTTATACATGTTCAGTACGACCAGCGACGATACGCTCTGGATTCTCGTGAACAGAAGGTAAAGGCTCAGATTTGTGAGAGTGATTTTGTTCAAAAGGATCATCATGTCACTCTTATGACTACAGCTGATTTAGTGTTTTCTCTGAAAAAACGCACAGAATGACAAGCTCATGCACCACAAAATAAGCAGCCTGTGGACGAGCAAGGATCCAACCTGGAAATGGGTAACAATGTTTTTTTTTTACGTTTTCCTAAAATGTAATTAAATTAGTAACTTGGACAGTTACGGACACAAAACATTCAGCCAGGCCATTAAGCATTAAAAATAAATCACATGTATGACAATCATCGCTATTTCCATATGTGTGCATATTTGATATATTTGATAACTCTGGACTTGACTTGACCAAGAGTAGAGACACTCGTGACTACACTTGGACTTGTCCCCCTTGGGGACAGATATGTTTTCATGTAAAATAAACTCTCCTTCTCTGTTAAAAAAACGTCCTACCTTCATCTCCATATTTTCATTTTTTCGCTGTGCATTTTTCCCTGCCATTTCCAGAGCAGATTGGGCGAGCCTACTCTACTCAATGGTTAACACCCATGCGCATGAACTTTATTTTGCATTTGTTTTAATGAGAAGATACAGATTTTAAAAGCATATGTGATCTGTGTAAACTCTTTTTAACTGTGGTTAACTGAAGCTGCAGGACTTTAGACTCGGCTTGTGACTTGTCGGTCTTTGACTTGGAACTTGACTCGGGTCTAAATTTCACTGGAGTTGTCACTTCACATCCTATTGGTTCTCTTGGGTTTGTAGTTTGCCGAACAGACCATGCGTGGTTTTGGTCATTTTAAAATAGATTGTCAAAACTTCTTTTCTGCCAACAGACTGAAGTTCGTGTGGAGTTCATTATCCCCCTACATCAAATGACGATCATTTTAACTGGAGTTGGTGTGGGATTGTTCCTTATCATCATCCTCACAGTCATCATGTTAAAGGTAAGACATGAACTCACACCACCCAGAGGCGAGAGATCGTCATTTTATTATACATTTTTTAATCTTCCTTATGTCTTTCCAGCTGGGATGCTTCAAGAGAAAGAAATATTATGGAGAGGAAGCTGATGGTGATGTTGGAGAGACTGATGCGCCCTGTGACCCTGACCCCACAAAAAGCCAGTCAGAGATTGAAGAAAACAAAAGGGGGCTTCTAGATGATGAAAAAAATGGCAGCATCCAAATGTGTGACACGCAAGAGAAAATGTTAGAGTAAAGAAATCTAACCAATCAAACGTGAGAGCAGGACCAAGTCCATGGGCTTTTGTGAGTGAACAGTGTCATAGAAGAAAAACAGGATAGTGAAGTGGCACAGTTAGTGAATTTTATGATTTAAGGTTCCTTTTATTGTTACAAACCACAGTATGTATACAAGCAAACAGAAGAATGAAAAACCACATATGGCCCCAAACCCCAGTCCTCTTTTGAACCAACTTTGGCCAGGACAAAGCCCAGAGTGGGCCACATCTGAGCAACCAAAACCAAAACTCAAACCGAAGCAGGTCTCCTTTTCCACCATTGTTTGGCCTAATTGTGGGCCAAACCTAAACCAAAACTGTTCTGCTTTTGAAATGGTGGTTGGGTCGCACATTTGTTAAACACGTAACTTGTATTAAAGCCCTGGATATTTTAAGTAAGTGAAAGTGTGGGTCAAATAAGATGAAATTCTCGTAATATTTTTTTTTTTTTTTTGACTGAAGTGTAAAAAATATGTTCTAGCTTAACCCTAACTTTTTGACTCATGAGGTAAAAATGATCAGGGTGGCCGGGTCAGGAGCAGATAAATGGAGCTTAGCTCGTGTGAACTAAGATAGATGACATGTAAATGCCATGCATAAAGGCTAAAATTGTTTTATCATTTTTTTTACACCATCCATTAGGGAAATGTGGGTGTTGCAGGGAACAGGCAGAAAAGGTTGCCAGGAGAACGGTACATTTCAGACTGCATTGTGCCGACTGTGAAATTTGGTGGAGGAGGAATTATGGTGTGGGGTTGTTTTTCAGGAGCTGGGCTTGGCCCCTTAGTTCCAGTGAAAGGAACTTTGAATGCTTCAGGATACCAAAACATTTTGGACAATTCCATGCTCCCAACCTTGTGGGAACAGTTTGGAGCGGGCCCCTTCCTCTTCCAACATGACTGTGCACCAGTGCACAAAGCAAGGTCCATAAAGACATGGATGACAGAGTCTGGTGTGGATGAACTTGACTGGCCTGCACAGAGTCCTGACCTGAACCCGATAGAACACCTTTGGGATGAATTAGAGCGGAGACTGAGAGCCAGGCCTTCTCGACCAACATCAGTGTGTGACCTCACCAATGCGCTTTTGGAAGAATGGTCAAAAAATTCCTATAAACTCTCTTCTCAACCTTGTGGACAGTCTTCCCAGAAGAGTTGAAGCTGTAATAGCTGCAAAAGGTGGACTGACATCATATTGAACTCTGGGTTAGGAATGGGATGGCACTTCAGTTCATAGTAGGAGTCAAGGCAGGTGAGCCAATACTTTTGGTAATATAGTGTAAATAAATTATATAATTTGGAAAAGTTTGGTGGGCTGGATTAAAAAGCTGAACGGGCTGCATCTGGCCCCCCGGGCCTTAGTTTGCCTATTTTAGACCCTGCCAATCATTAGATCTGACCTGACGATCTGATGTTCAGAACAATTACTCCTGTAGCTTTACTGCACTCTCCATTAGTCATTGGTACTATTTACACTGTACAGCGAAATGAACGAACATAACCACAAGCTCTTTGTAACTTTAGCTGCTCAAGTTGCCCTTGAAGTTATAATATTATTGTTGAAATTATTTTGTCCTGTGCTAATATAATGACCCTAATTATCATGTGTGGACATATCAGTTCAATATACAGTATATAAACTAGTGGTGTCCTCCACTCGGTACAATGGAGAAACATGATGAAAGCTACAGCTTAAAGTATTTCTTCAGAGAGCAAGTCAGTTGCTTGATTACAAAAGACTGGACCCTGCTGTGCTGCAATGTAAATAAAATAAATACAATTATTCTTAAATTTAAAAGATGTGTTTCCTTACCACATGATTGGACATCAGAAGAAATCACTGTGACAAGAGTGGAAAAATTGGAAAGACCTCAGGGCTTTTATTGAAAAAAAAATAAAAACAATTCCTACAATTCCTTGTATTTTTTTCATAATTTGACTTGATTTCATTTCATTTTAAACATTAAATACAAGTGCAAAAACACTTGTTTTAAAAAAGGATCTGCGATCATGGTGAAAAGAAAAACCCAGCTGTTTAACTTTCTGTCCGTCTGGCAACTACTTCAGTCTCACCAGACTCTGACTCTGCAACAGAGGCAGTGTTCTGTGTTTCAGGCTTTTGTCTCCTGTGGTCTGGTCTGTTCCAAAGAGCTGAGTGTTGTCTCCTCGGTGACATGTGGTGATATGTGACGAGAAGCGCCATGATCTAAGTGTGAGGAAGTTCTCTTCCTCTGATCACACTTGGTTCTCGGTCTCTGATCAGATTTTGAGGAACAGAGAAAGAATTATCAGCTCCACATCACCTGGTGCAATAAACACATTTCCTCATTTTATTTAAACATTTCTTTCTTAATGTTTTCAAAAGACAAAGTGTTCAGCTACCACGCGTTATTCCCAGTGCTCCACTCAACCACTCAGATCAGATCTATGTGTGAACCTGTGGTGAGACCCCGCCCTCACAACACGAAGTCTAAACTTGAACAGGAATTTCACTGGAGAAGATCACATGGGTCATCCCAACCGTGTTATTTAATACATCCATTAATGAAGCATCCCCAAACACATGCTCGCTGGGCTTCGAGAAGGCACTTAGTGGATAACAATGGTATTATTACATGCAGTACAGTGTGTTCCATGTTCATCTTCCTCACCTTCTTTTTTCTCTTCTTTTTCTTTGTTTGATGCTGAGTGAAGAGACGTTGGAAACTACCTCGAACTTCTATTGTATCTTTAAAAAAAAAAAAAAAAGAGAAATCTGAAAGACATTTTCTACCAGAATGATCAAACATTTCACTGAGACAGAACATTTGAAAAACCTGCAGAGACGCCATCCTTCCACTCTTCGTCTGCTTTGTATGGACTAAAATCCAGACCAGGTCTGGGCTCGTAGTGACTGCTGCAGTCGTCGCTCCTGCAATTACACCAAAAGAACATTTTTAATTATCCATTCCAGCAGTACAGATCACAGATCATACATCTGCTTTGACAACTGGGAGATAAAGTTGCAAATTTGTAAAGTTCAATTTATGAGCGCTTTCACGCAGGATAGTCCACGTTGATTGGCATGAGAACAACCGAAGAATTTTACACCTTCAGTTGGTGTGGTTCACTTTCACACTGCCTTTCTGAAAAGAGACCAAACCACCAGCACAAGAATCCATGCCCTTCAGTCAGTCGGTTTACAACAGAGCAGTACTCCTCAAATAGCCGAGCGGGCCCCCCTAGTGGTGAGGTACCGGTGGCAGCAACTCATAAAGTGGTTTATACAGATAATAATATACATGTTATCAGGTTCTCAATAGTATTTCAATTTGCAAGGTGTGGGTTGCGGAGGTGGGCGTGAAATCATTTCTGTCCCCTATAGGGAGGCACGACAGAAAAATAATTGAGAACCATTGCAACAGAGCAACACCAAATGTATGCATGTGCAATTTATAAATTCGCACTTGCACCTTGCAACCAAACCACAAGTGAACCAGGACACGTATTTTCAGATAGACGGCTCAGGTGTGAAAGCGCCCAGTGACTCGGGTTTTAGTCTATGCCAGAGGACCATTGTCACAAGAATAAAAAAAAAAAATGATGTCCTTGCCTTTAGGTGAAGAGACAGTGGGAGATATCCGAGTGTGGGTTCTAGAATGATCTGCTCCTCCACATGGACTCGAAGATGTGGATGTGTCAAACAATTTAAAGGCTGTTGAACTTTGCTCCGTCTGAATAGGTGTCTCCGAAGTGTCTTTGAGAGAAGTAAACAAACACAGGAATGGCCTGGTGGAGGTCCCGTCAGATGCTGTCCCTTTGCTTCCGCAGTGTGACGCAGGAGAATGAGCTTGTGATACGTCTGTATCTGACCTATGGTCACCCGTGATAGGGTTGGAGAAAAGGCTAGAAAACTGTTTTTCCCATGTCCCCGCGCCAGAATTGACAGTTTCACTGTTGCTCTCTGACGGCGCGAGGGTCGACTCGTGTAGTTGCTTTCCAGGTTTGAGGTCAGACTGTGGTTTTTCAGACAGCCTTTGGGCCCGGGAAGATTCTTCAACAGGTTGAGCAGGTCTGCATGTAATCTTTGAAAGACCGGAGCCTTCTGAGTCTAACACTGGACCAGGAGAATGCAGCCTGCTCCGGGAGGAATGAGCAGAAGTCTGTCTTTTGCAGTCCATGGGTGAAAACGCAACAGCACCTGCACTTCCACAGCTCACAGAGGGTAGAACATGACCGGGGTGTCCGCTGTCCTGAAGATTCACTTCTCTTCTGAATGACTCTGACTCTGGAGCAGGTGCAGAAAGTAAAAAGTGTCCTGGCCCTGCACCGACTTCTTCCTTACATGTCTGAGTGTCTTCAGGCGGCATCGTTGAAATGTCTGACATTTCTTCTTGGGGTTCAGTCATGTCTTTTTTACCACTCATAGAACTCTTGGTTTCTGAGCCCGGCAGAAGTTCGGTGAGGTTTTTACAGTCCCCAAACAAAGACAAACTTTGTGCGGTTGTAGGGGATGAGGTGCGGCGCAACACCTTCCTTCCAGATTTGCAAGACAAGATGGTGTCCACAGAACAGGGAGCTTGGCTTTGACAACCCAAGTCAGGGGGTTTTTGAGAAGCAGACTGAGAAGACAAGTCCTGACTCACGGGAGTTGGGGAAAATCTGGGGAAAGGTCTGTAGAGCCGAGGTCCCAGCACTGCTTCTACTGAGTAACACACAGGCTCCTCAGGCTGAAGGTAAGAACTGGTCACAGAAGGGGGGTTGTAAAGCTCAAAGCCCTCTGTTGGCAGTGTTGAGTCAGACACCTCTTCTATTTCAGTCTCCGAACACACAGCTTCCTGTTCAGAGTTTGTTTCTCTACTGTGGTAAAACTGCAGCCTGTAAAAATAAAAAAACTGTGGTAAAACTGCAGCCTGTAAAAACAAAAAAAAAACCCAACAAGCAGGTGACTCATACACACAACTTACTTTGAACTGTTTTCCTGTTATCCTATTTCGTTACTTTAGTACTCTTGTTATTGCTTGAGATACTCCTTGAGTGATGTCATGTCTTTTGATGTATATTTTACATATTATTATCTCCTTGAGTGATGTCATGTCTTTTGATAATGGATTTTTAAACAAGTGTGTTATTTTACATATTATTATTATAGTTCTTGCCTTTTGTAAAACATTCTTTTATCTTTCCTTTTTTTTTTGCAGTGTGTATCTGAGACAACTGTAATTTAATTTGTGCCATATGTCTAGTTTGACTTTTCAGATTTGTAGGTCCCTGTGGCAAACATTCTCTTATTGATTATGTGTTATAAATGTTATATTTATAGCAAATACACTCACCATAATTTCCGGACTATTGAAAGCACCTGAGTTTAAGCTGCACTCACTCACTCATTTAAAAAGAAAAAAAATATATTGTACATATATAGGCTGTACCTAATGCGTGTTGTTCTTTAAAATAAACTGCTACGCAAGAATACGGTCAAGTCTTTAGGATTACAAAATCAGTGGGTGCAAATGGGAGTTACGCACAAACCTGAGGGTTGCTAGGTCAACATCCGCAGTTTCCATGGCGTCAGTGCTTGCAGGCTCATCTGTGCTTGCCTGCTGCATCGGGGACTTCTGCTCAGCTTTCGTTGCAAGTTCATAAAGGTCATTGTCTCTTTTCAATGCCTGCAGTAAAATCATACCACATTATTAATTGCCTGACAAATGTGAGCACTTTTCAATAATAAATTTAAGACTTCCCAGCAACCTACTCAAGGTTAAGTTTTTTGTCGAAGTCGAAGGTCAGGTTGGAACAACTGAACAAAGACTCTCTGTGTAACAGTACGGCACAGTCCTACATGAAAACACATTTTCTTATTCATGCTTCTTAAAAAACGATCATTCAATTTGAATGCATCTTGATGATACACTAATTTCTAACTTTCTAGTAAAATACAATATGGTAATGACTGATTACTAAATAAAATATCTGGTACAACACATGTAAAATAAAGGTTCATTAGATATTTAAAAACACAATTATGATAGAAAGTAAAATCAATAAGGTTGTAAAAATATCTTTGAAAAACACAATTATGATAGAAAGTAAAAACAATAAGTGTAATGTGCCATAATTAATAGTGTTTCAATATGATTTTAATAGCAGTGAGACTATTTCATCTAAAAATCCAAACCAGTGGAATTCATTTTCAGCTGATACACGGCTTAGATCACACACACACCTCTTCTAATAACATGGCCGTCGTCTCATTTAGAGGTTCATGGGAAAACATGCACAATTCTCCATTCAAACAAGTTCCCTTTCTGTGAAAGAACTTGCAGGGAAATGACTGTGGAGGTTGGTCAAGGAAAGATGACCTCGTCTTCACTTTTTTAAACGTCATTATTATGACACTATTCTACATAGACAGAACGCATTTGTGCTGAAGGATATTGTGCATGTATGGGCAGCCTGCTCCTTTTGTGCAGAATCCTTGGACATAAAATTTGCACACTTTTTTGATGCAGTCGTTGTAACCCTGAATGTGCTTCAGCTGACACTCGTCACCCTGCAAGCAGGAAACACAGAGTTTTAAAAGTAGTCACGTGCTCAATAAAGCATTTTTCACATCTTACTAATAACATAAACAGGTCAATAAGTGGTGTGACCTGCCTTGATGCAGCGTCCATAAAGAAAATGACGACACACTAGCTGCCCATCCACCATCAAGGCGTTCTGCTCTTTAAACTCTTCACTCATTGGTTTTGGTCCTTTCACCTGGAAGAAAAAGGATCAGAATTACATTCACAAACATGATTCCTGAGAAAATGTAATTACGTAACAAAACATAATAAATATGCCCTGACAAGTGTGACCATGTGTTTCATTTACCAGTTTGACATGTTTATGTCTCCCATCTCCTCTGCCTCTACTTGAACCTCCTCGACATCGATTTTCTTCATCTCTCTGGTGAACTCGACTCTCCAGCTGTTTTCTCTGCTGATATCTATTGTTGTTATTACGGTATCTCTTGTCCTTGTTCTTCCTACAGTTGTAAACTACACTGAGCTTCGGTCTGTCATCGTGGCAATGTGTCCTTTCTGCCATTAAACCAGAACCTCCAAGTTCACTGGTTTCTATGGGACTTTCAATAGAAAGGTTTCCATTGTCTTCTTTGGTGACGTCAAAGTTTCTTCTGTTTCTCTGGTTCTGAGAACGTGGTCTCTGTTGAAAGGAAAAATAACAAATGATAATCAAAGAAATATAAGCGACCCCTTAAGGTGTTTTTTTTTACCCAAAGTAAGCCAAGCAAACTGAAGGGTTACAGGCAGAAGAAGGTCTCAAACAAACGTGTAAACATAATGAGAACAAAGCAATAAGTGGATTTTTAAGTGTTTGTGTGAGAGAGAAAAAACAAAGTGAAACACACTGTGTGAGATAGATCTGTGGGTCTGCCTGTTTAATTCACACCAACAACAACATTATTACCAATTACAACATAATAAGTTGTTTTAGCTGTAGTTGAGGTGAGACTCACTTTGTTGACAGGACCTCCCTGGCATCCTTGGTTTTTCCTCGTTCTGTGTTTTCTACCATGTTCACTGTTATTTCTGAAAAAGAACAGGAGTATGTTTGTGTATAACATAACGATAGGTCATTAAATGCACCACTGTTAACAACTGTGACCCTGTGTGGAATAATAATAATAATAATAGGATACACCATTGTCACCTAAAGTCCAGTTCATCAGCCTACAAAAACACAAATAATATCAAATGGTCCATAAATGCACCACGACAAAAAACCGCGGTCTACAAACCTAGTCTACGCACCAGAGCTAAAAAAAACGTCAGTTCATCGTCAAGTGTTTATTTAGGATGTGAGAACAATTTTCTCGATGAACAATGTTACATTAGACGCAACAACACAAACGTCATTCGTGGACCTTAACCGATTAATAGGAAACAGCAAGCGTCCGGCCTTACGATTCACATGAACACAAAATACACAACGTTGACAATTCCTTAAACGGAGCAAAACTTAAGGCTATGCTAGGTGTCAATATCCGAGTATTACCTGTGTGACACAGCAGGTTCTTTAAGACTTTTGACGTCTTCATTTACAGCAAACAGTCCTGTAAATAAATTTACAAAAGCCATTTAACTTTTTGACGAGCCAAACGGAAAGATGGCGATGGTGTCCTGGAAGTGTCCCGGAGCACTGTCAGTGTTTCTTAAAAATCAAAAAACACTCAAACCTTTACAAAAGAAGAGTCGAAATTAACTTCACGTGTTCACTGCCTCTAACGTCTAGCTCTGTCGCTACCAAAACAATATATCCCATCATGCATTGCAGTCCGGACGACATGGCGGAGAGATTATGGCGAAACGTACAGATATAAGTAAATTCCCGTTTGACTGGCGATTATATGTTGAATTTTACGTTTCACGGCATACTGTGTCCGAAATAACCGATTTGACCGTAGTACACGTACATATATTATATCTACATAATATTTTAGCGTAGCGTTCGTATGTTACCATGTAATTTTATTGACAAGTTATGTTATAACGCAGAGGTTCCTAAAGTGGTGGGCGCGACCCATAGGGGGCCGCAGTGCCATTGCTGGAGGAGCGCGAATGGAATGAATGAATCAAACGTAACGCAGCATAATGTTCAATGCTGTAAATGTTTAACAAGAAACTGGCAAAAAAAACGGATTGGTTGAAGGTGGGTTAATATGAATATTTGGTAGAAAAAAAAAACGGATTGGTTGAAGGCGGGTTAAAATGAATATTTGGTAGGGGTGGTAGGTTCTGCCCAAGCAGCCAAGAAATGGGAAAACCTTAAGAAGACGTATTAGGTTTGTGTGCATTGTTTCAGGCTATATTTGTAAATGGTGTAAGCATGTATGTAAGGTCAGTTACTGTTCTCCTTAAGTAAGTCCATTGCAGTCCATGAGCATTTTTGAAGAGAGTATTACGTAAACTGTTGTACAAAACTTGAAATGTGTGCAGGAGCTAAGGAAGCAAACCACAGGGAGTGCCGCTGAATTCGGGCTCATTGTTTCAGCCGGGGGAAAATGCACGTCCATGTTGCCGTCAGCCTCCCCCAATTTAATGCTGAAGGGGGGGAACACTTGTGATACAACAGGGCACCAAGTTGGCCAACCAAAAGAGGAAAGACTAGTGTTTCCGAGATGTGACCTTAACCATGGTCAGATGGAGAGCAGATGTTCCGGAGGAGATGAGCTACTGTGGGCCTAGAGAGGCGGAAGTTGGGTAGTAGGTCACTTATGCCATCAAGTAGATGGCCGAGACAGGTAGTTGGTAGACGCAGCAATGAGTTGGATGGAGGTTCTGTTAATAAAGTATTAAAAAAAATGATAATAGTGTCATAAACTACTGTACATGTGGTTTTATAGATAAATATGTTATGTTGTCGCTAATTCTACTGCAACAACAAAAGTTTTGAGATGTTGAAGAAAAAAAAGTTGTTGAGACAGAATCTGGACTTTGTTCCTCCACATATGAGGCCATCTTTGTATCAGGCTCAAAGTTCAGGTCACACACATTTTCAATGAAACTATCTGAAACCTGACTGACTGTGTCCAAACTGAGGAGCTTCAGTTTCAGAATGAACCTCTGGGTTCGTCTCACTCCCTTGATGCTCCTGCTGGGACTTTTCAGCCTATGTGCTGTCAGTCAGCCGGCTGAGGACTCGGTACCACCACCACCACCACCACCATCAGGTCAGAGCTCTAATGGATCACAGACACAGGAAGAGGACAGTGAGTGGGGAATGAACTCCATCAGAGACAGCTTTGAGGCCGTCAGTGGTTACTTCGACTCCGTGCTGGAGTTCATGGGCGGACGTGACGGAGTGTGTCAGTACCGCTGTAGACACGGTAAGTGATTCCATCTGTTAGATGGTTATTTATAATTTTAAAGTGATCTCTTAATAGTAAAGTATTGGCCACAGTTCCCTGTTTTGTTAGGCTTAAAAAGGCTTACAAAACAGATTGTTATGAATAATTTCAGCAGATTTATAGAGCAGTTTCTTGTGGAGAATGTGTTTTCAAGGGATTTGAACAAAATGAGGAAAACGTTTTAAACATGTTTGTGAAAAATGTTTTGTACCTTTCTTAAGTTTCCTCTTTTATTTATCTCGTTCTTTACTTCCTTTTTCTTTGCGTTTCTTTGTTTGATTTTCCCTCTTTTTGTCTGTGTATTTTTCTATCTATCTTTTCTCTATCTATCTTTTTTACAGTTAATATGTAAGGATTATTGAATCAGAACCAGAGTTAATCGGGGGAAAAAAATCCAGACTTATCTTTTTTGATCCTTTTAAGTTTTATTCTCTTTCATATACACTCATTAAAATCTATTTCTGTAAATATTTTGTGCTAGATTTTTTCCATGTTATAGAAGATGGTGTCAAGATTTTCTATCAGCTGAGAGTTGTAGGTCAAAGTACATGTCAGATTATAACAGAGCACTTGATAGACAATGACATTGTTTTGACACAATATGACGCAACTTACTGAATATATCTGACAAGCAGAAGATGGATGACAGGGTGTTTAAAAGTTAGAATAGAGAGATTAAAAAAAGTGAAAAGTCAGATTTCAAAGATATATTTCTTGAAAACACAAATTGATGGTAATGAATAATTCTAACCTAACCCTGTAATTTCAACAATAGCTGTTTCATCTTGGGAATCTCCACTCTGATCCACTTATCAATTTTGTTATCATCCAAGGTGTGGGCCTGGGAATGGACTGTGAACCTCAGTGTGGTAGCACAACTTTTGATATTGGTGGTGACATTAGTTTTCAAATGGATAGATAATAGATCGATAATAGATCAGGCATGGGCAAACTAAGATTCAGATTCAGTTTTTTAATCCGGCCCACCAAACCTTTCCAAATAATATAATTTATTTATATTATCATTATACCCTTTTCTCTTCCCTGCAATACCCACGTTTCCCCAATAGATGGCGTAGAAAATGATAAAAGCATTTTAGTATTTTAGCCTTTGTGCATGACTTTTACATGTTATTTATCTTAGTTCACACGAACACTCCATCTATCTGCTCCTGACCCGGCCCCCCTGTTCCCTTTCAGGACAATTTTGGCCTGCGATTAAAAAAGTTTGCCCACGCCTTGTCTAGACTTTTGTGAAACATGAGATTCATCACTTCTGTTCTGATCTGATCCTAACCCTCAGGTAAAGCTCCACTTCCTCGGCCTGAATACCAGATGCCCGAACCCGACGGATGTAGCTCCTACTTCTTTGGACTTCCAGTTCCAGAGGGGGTATTTCTTTATTTAATTCTTTCTACCACTTCACATCCTATTATGTATCACAACATTCAGGACTGACGCTTGGGTACATGTTTGCCACACATTTTTGAGGGTAGTGAGGAAGATGTTAGAACAGAAAACTTCATGCCACTCTTTACTACTTTGTTGTCAAACCGTGGAGCAGGCCCCTCTAGGGGCTGGACAGAAGGGCGCTGCTGCTGTAATGCTTGAACAATAAGCTAGCAGCGGTGGCAAGCGGTGCTCGAAATACTCAACAGGCTGTCTGTGTAATCCAGTAGAGTAGAAGTACAGGTGTTTTATTAAAAACATGCTCAAACTGATCTAACTGGCAGTTCCCACTGTTTCACGGTTCAGGATTATTTATTGTCTTCTGTACAGTACAATATATTCAAGGAAAGTAAATGCATATGTTCTGCATTTCATCTCTTCTTATAAGCTAAAATATAAGCAACCCCCCAAATGTTTATAACCGGAGTAAATAAAGTGAACTTGGAAATTGTTTTAAGTTGTTGCTGCTGTTATCTGAGCTCATTTATGAATCTTTTTTGATAATCAGATTATTGTGTGCGCAATGGCACCAGCAACTTATACAGTGGTTTGTACAGAAAAGAAAAGAAATATTATAAGGTAAATAGTATTTCAATTAAAATCATTAGAAAACAGAATATAGAGCAGGTAAAATAAGTAATAAACATGTCACAAACTGGGGAAACTGGCCACTTCCTTCCTTTGCTCAGGTGTAATTTGGGCTAGTGATGTGCGGATCGATCCTGAAATATCGATACTTCCGATTCTGTATCTTTGTGCTCTGAAATCGATTCTCGATAACAATTCTCATATGTTAAAATATTCCATGGACAGTTTGTGTTTTGTGAATTTGGGCTTTGAGAAATAGAAGTGACTTCATTCCCTGAAGCCACCTGAGACTATTCTTTCCTTTACATAATGACACGTAACTTACCTGGTGAAATCTTCCTGTCAGTCAAACCTTGTACTTAATGTATGGTTCTGTCCAAGTGGATGTGAACCAGCGTTAACATTCATCATTATCTATACAACGACTTTCCCAGATGGATATGGGCATCCCTGCCATGACCAAGTGCTGCAACCAGCTAGACATGTGTTACGACACCTGCGGCTCCAACAAATACCGCTGTGACTCCAAGTTCCGCTGGTGCCTTCACAGCATCTGCTCTGACCTCAAGAAGAGCCTAGGCTTTGTGTCAAAGGTGGAAGGTCAGAACATTTTTATACTTTTTTTTTTCCTTAACATTCCTTTTAGTTCTATACTTTGTAGTCATATTTCCTGTCTCCGTCTCCTCAGCTTGTGAGACCGTTGCAGACACCTTGTTCAACACAGTCTGGACTCTCGGGTGCAGGCCCTACATGAACAGCCAGAGGGCAGCATGCTATTGTCAGGGTGAGGAAAAAGATGAACTTTAAAGCAATTTTTACACTTAAAAGAACAGCATCAAGTTGGGCAGCCTGCCTTCAGATGGAGCTCCGAGTGGCAGTTGTTCAATAGAAACTCGTGTGTGAATATTTCAGTAATTTATTGTCGAGTTTGCTGCAGGTTTTGTCCTTGCACACTGTGTTTCACTTTGCATTAAAATGTTTATTAGCCAATCACAACTAAAGTTGTCCAAAAGTAGATGTTTGTTGTCGCATCTCTGCAAAAATGTTGAAAATACTATTTACAAGAGAGCTTGTTATTTCATAAAGGGGGATGGAGTGTTAACAAATGCCACGCTGCAACATTTTCAGTGTGTTACAGTGTCAACCCAATGACAAATAAATGTTATTAAGACCCTTGTAAGGCTTTCAGTTTCCTTCCATTTTGCAACATAGAGGAATGGCTTAGATGTTAGATCCTATTTGAATCTTGTGCTCGAAAACATGTTTCCATGATGATGTGGCTACCAGCTTTCTCTTACTGGTATTCATTCAGAACGACCATTCCTTTAAATGTGTTCATGAAGTCAGAATAGTGGTCTACAAGCACATGCTCGAACATACAGTATCCCACTGACAAGACATGTTTGGCGGCCGGCTTAAATATTTGTCAAAAACTGAAAATAAACAGGAAGTTATGTGGGGTGGAATGTCAATGAGAAAAATTGAGGGTGCTTTAATTAACTCCCGATATGTTGTACAAGTTTGACTTTTTTCTGAAAATCTGTCAGAGATAAGAGTCCAATCACATCTGATTTCATCATGCATACGGAGGAACAAATGAGGGCACGAGCCAATCACAGCCAAGTTTGTGGGCTCGAAGGCACAGCCCATAAATGGAGGTCCAATCACAGTGCATTTGGCAGTGAAATAAACTTTGGTCAATTGGTGGATTAGCTGTGACACTGATATCAAAACTCAAAAGTCCTCAAAAATAAAATACATTTTTGCATATTTCCTTCAATACACCTGATAATTAATTTAATTTGAAATTCAAAGTAAGGCAGGGCATACACATTTTCTCTCTTTATCATGTCATACAGTACAGAAACGTCACCCTATCAGCCAGGAACAGGTAGAACTGAGTGAGAAAATGTTGCTCTCGTCGATGCAACAAAAGTATTCCTACGGTTGTAAAATGGTTCACATACAGTACAGCAGTGCGCCAGGTACTTAGGAGAGGTATGATGATGAATGAAACACATGACACATGGCAGGGCTGTTCTTTGTCACCGGTTCTGTTCATTATCTTTATGGACAGAACTTCTAACCGCAGTCAGGGGCCGAGTGGGGTCCAGTTCTGGAGCCACTGGATTTCATCTCTGCTTTTTTGCAGATGATGTTGTCTTGTTGGCTTCTTCAAGTTAGGATCTGCAGCATGCACTCGGGCGGTTTGCAGCCGAGTGTGAAGCCGCTGGGACGGGAATCAGCACTTCTAAGTCTGAGGCCATGGTTCTCGGCTGGAAGAAGGTGGCTTGCACCCTCCAGGTGAGGAAAGAGGTGCCTGAGGTGGAGGAGTTTATATATCTTGGGATCGTGATCACGAGCGAGGGGAAAGTTGGAACTGGAGATTGACAGGCAGACTGGTGCATGTAGTGCTGTATTGGTTCTTTGTGGTGACGGAGCCGAGCTGAAAGGCAAGGCTCTCGATTTACCGCTCAATCTACGTTCCTACCTCACTGTTGGATTTCTGTGGTTTTCACATTTGGTTGGGTCTGCAGGAGGAAGACGCTAAGACACCAAAAGGCTCTCCTGAGCACACACATACGTCACATAGCCCCACACATTCAAAGAGAATTTCCCCAAATTCTCTTCACACCAACTTTCTAAAACACCTCTACTCCCCTGGGAACAATGGGAGATCTCCCAATCTACCTTCTCACAGGGAACCCCGAAGCCATCCATTGCTTTTGATCTACATGACCACCTATGGTTGACTGGACTTCGTGGCTCGGTCCACTTCCCTTGTGATAACCCACCCACTCAGCAACAAAAGGTTCTACCAACATTGCTGAATCATGGGACAACAGTGCCACATAGTGGCGACTGCAGGCATCACATGATACAAGAACAATAATATGATTGGCCACAAGAGGCCTAGCCTCTCTCTTCCATTGGCCCACAAGATTTAAACACACACCCCGGAAGTCGAAAAAACCACTCCTCCCACACAGGTATATAAGCATAAACAACTGATAACGATACTGTAGAAGTTATTCTTGAGAAGTCAGAAGTTATTCTTGACAGGATTTGCGTATTAACTACTGTTGTACGAGATTTCCTTGAATACTTCTCCGGTTGTTATTTTGCTTTATTGTTGGACCTGTATTGTTTGACGTTTTGCTATTAAAACGAATCGACCATCGACACCTCGCACAGCAAGAATCGTTCAATTACCTATGGTCATGAACTTTGGATCATGATCGAAATAACAAGATCCGGGATACAAGCGACCAAAATAAGATTTCTCCGCATGGTGGCAGAGCGCTCCCTTAGAGACAGGGTGAGGAGCTTGGAGTAGCGCCACTGCTCCTCTGCATCGAGAGGAGTCGGCTGAGGTGGCTTGGGCATTTACACTGTATGCCCCCCGGAGGGAGAGGAGGAGGAGGTCTGAGTGTCCCTGTTCAGAATGTTGCCCCCCACGACCGGGCCCCTGATAGGCAGACGATGATGGATGGATAGATGGAGAACATGCTAATGTAATGTATGAGTTGCTGCCACCTAGTGACAGGGGCGCCCACCTAACTATTTCAGAAGTATTTATCTAGGTGCCTGCTATTAGCCTCCTTGAGTGATATTTCAGAAGTATTTATCTAGGTGCCTAGGTATCTAGGTTTCTCAAGCTTCTGACATATTTTACCACCTGTTTCCACTACAGACACTTGTTGGTTGTTTTTTTTTCTTTATTTTTGACAAATTCAAAGAAATGACATATGGGACTCTTTTCTCACAACGTTTCTTGTGGCATTTTGCCTGGTAGCATGATAAGCAAAAGCCAACTGTAAACAAAATGTAAACAGAATAATACAGTTAACTTACTGGGTATTAGTGGTCAGGGCCAGGTTGGCTGTAAAAGTTGTTGCTTTGCCTTCCGGTTAAATGTTTCAAGCTAAAGAAAAACAATTGAAAAGGTGCATTAAATGTATTACATATATATATTTGAAATATTAATATTTACGTATCTATCTATATACTATATACTGTATATATACACACATGTATATATCTATACATACATATGTGCTGTATATATGTACATACATACATGTTTGTTTGTTTTCTTACTACTTATATATATATACAGAGTATAACTTGTACTGTTCTCACCTTTTTCCTTAAGTTCATCTCGATTTCCTCCTCTGTCACAAGTCTTTTCCCTTCCTGTGCCTGCTGCACCTCCTCCTCGTCATATTTCACATCCTGTGAAGCACTTTTTGATACATCCTGTGGTAGTTGTTCACAACAATACGTCTTCTTGTTCATCTCCTTCTCTTTCCACTTCTGTCTTAACTGTTCACGGCACTCTAGATTCCCCTCAATGTCAGACCTCTTGTTTTTTCCAGGCGACAAGAGCTTCAAGCAGGTTTGGTTGTCTGTCGGCCGCTTGGTTGTAATTTCCTGCAACCAGTCACTGCAACCACTGACTGGACGACCCGCCCTGGCCTTCGCTTGTGGACAAGTCTGGATTCCATAGCACTTGTATGTCAGTAGGAGTAGGAGCGGGTCGGGGGAATAAATTCTCTTCTCCGGTTGGATATGGGTAACTGTTCCGACTTAGGAATGGAGAAATGGTCTGTGGGAATATGGTGTATGAACTTGGAGTAACATTTGGATTGGAAGTGTTCTCTGAGTACGAGGGCCAACTATAATTTGAATATGCGGGGTAAGAAGGAGTAGACAGAGAAGGAAGAACGGGAGATAGAGGAAATGTGTGGGGAGAAAGATGAAAAGGAAGATGCAAATTTGTTACACTTTGTGGGTATTGGTTATAATGACTATTCTTGTCTTCGGACTCCCATAAGTCTTCCGTCTTCTGGTTGGCTTCCTGTGAGCTGCTGTGTTCAGCATTTTTTGAGTCTCTGCTGTGTGAGGGAGAGGGACTCAGGGAGACTGAATTCGAGGGAGAAAGGGAAGGCGATGAGCGGGAAGACGAAGAAGATGACGACGAGGAGCTCTTGTAACCTCTGCGGAACCCTCTCTGCAAATGGGTCTTCTCCTGTCTCATGTCAACCTCTCCATCGTCACACTTCCTTCCATAAAGCCTCTCCTGAATCCGGCCATCGACTTTAATCAACTCCGCTCCTTCCAAGTTCAAGCCCAGTGTTTTGAGAATGCTCTGCAGCTGATCATGTTTGTCATCTTCTGTTTTCTTCTTTTTGGACACTGAAGGTGAATTTGATTGACTCCTCGAACCAAAAGAGCTGCACCCCCGGTCCTTTCTCTCTTTCTCCTCCTTACCTCCAGGTACTGGGGGTCTCTTGTTGGTGTCACTGTTCTCTTGTTCACTGATACGCTGAGTGCAGCCTGAACCACAGTCTTCGCTGTAAATCTGCCTTGGGGTTAAATTGCCTTCCTCCACAGAAGGGGAATGAATGGTCAAATCCTTACCAACAGGTAAATCCTCACAGTCGTCATTCACAATTCTGCTCAGCAGGTCAATGTCTACACCTTTGTTCAGAATATTGACAAAGCGTTGGAAACCTATGTTGTTGGTGTCCTCATTTTTGGCTGATGGAGTAACATTTCCAATTGTATCTGATGGCAGTTCGTTTCGAGACATTTCCAATTGTATCTGATGGCAGTTCGTGAGACCTGTTAGATACCTACGATAGACAAAAGAGGAAATGCAGCAAAAGCAGATGTCACCTGTTTCTTATTAAAGAAGTTTGTCTATGATAGAACACTAGCAACATAATTGGCTGATAGACAAACACAAAGAGAACAGATTTAACTACTAATTTAACTGTTTGTGCATTATTTCTTGTTGAACAGATTTAACTACTAATTTAACTGTGCATTTTTTCTTGTCCTGTGTTATAACATAATTGTAATGTTTGTAATAATTTCTTGGGAATTTGTGCAGAAGTTGTCCTTTAACTTATGTGGCCAATTATTTCTGGCTAATTCTTAGCTTTTGTTTGTCAACATTGTATTCTTGCTAGAATTTAGTATGACTACCCTGACAGCATTTCGTTATTTATTTTTCAATGACATTTTACAACAGATCACTGCTTGGTTTTCTCCAGGGTCAATACAACACTGTTGCACATTTTGGGAGAAAAAGAAGAAAAAAAAGGCAAACCTTTGTGTTTGCTGGTAAGTGATTGAGGGCACGAGACCTCTGCTCCATTAATGCCTTGACTCTCAGTTTCAGAGGATGATCTTGCTGCTGGAAGGATTTATTTCTCTTTTCAGGCGACCAACGCTGAGAACAAGACAAATTGTACTATTTAATTATGAGTTATTTATAGTAGGTAGTGTTCTGACAATACGGTAACTGACTCACTACTCACCTTTGGCATCAATCCCAGTAAACTCCGCTGATGCAAAATGCAGTTGACCCTTTCTTGAAGAGTTTCTCCTTTGCCTGATGGTGGTGCCGTAGAAGAATGGCTCAGACCAACATGTCTCAAAGCCAGGGCAGCCTTCTTGAATAGTATTTTCTGCTGTATCTCTTTAAGTTCTCTCAATTTCCTTTCCAGCTCTATATTGATTAATTCCTCTTGCCCCAGGGGTTCTCCATCGGGGTCCTCCACTCTCTGATCCTGGATGGGGGGACTAGTTCCCTTCCAGCTTGCTTTGAGTTCTGTGCTGCAGTGTGGTAGGTCCACTTGGTATCTAGAATATTCACAGTACGTGTCCCCACCATTTTGGGCCTTTAAGGCACTCACCATGCTGTTATTAGTGTCACCATCCTTTGCTTCCTGATGTCCCTGTAGCTCTAAAGTATGCAAACCATTGTTCCAGTTGAATGGATTCATTGCTTAGGCTTGTAGAGCAAGAAGCATGTGACAACTCTGGGAAAGAAAATTGGGGAGAATCATTAAAAAGACCTTTGGTTAATAAGGTAGATTAAAAACAACAGTAGAATAGAGAAGAAAAATATATTTTTATTTATATATGTTTCTATTCAATACAATAGCTTGGCATGTCCCCCTCAGATGTCCCCTCTACAATGATTGATACTGCATATATTAGCATACTTATATACAACACATTAATCCAAATCCATCTAGGGCTGTAATCTCCCAGTCGACAGGTCGATTTAGTGGTCGAAACGTTTAACCTCGATTAACAGTGCATTCTCAAGAAATAAAAGCATGAAACACAGATACGACCCACGTCAAAAATATATGAAAACTTTTTTCATTGATCATTTTTATTAATAATTTCCAGAGTTATTAGTAACGTACATCGCCTAAACAGTAACAACCAGAGAATACTAAAGACAGGCAGATAACATTTCAAACCGTTTTTATTTACTACTAAAAGGCTAAACAAATCAGCCTTAAAATATAGTTTGTGTCATACGTGCCATGTTTCCGCGCCGTTGAACGGATTGACATAGCAAACTGACCCCATAGTTTTGTAGCTTTAGCTTCAAAAGCTAAGACCATTTACCTACATTTTTTGGACGCCCTCGTCTCGAGTTGCTTGGCACGGGTTATCATTTAAGATTATCGACGTTTTAAAAATAAACAACAAAAATGCAGTATTTCAGAATTTTCAACGGTGTCCGAGAACAAAACAATAGTTTATGGTTAGCTGGGTCCTGCCATGTAGCAAAAAAACAGCGACATACAGACAAGGCCAGAGGTTTTAACAGCGCCCTCTGCTGGAGGGATTATCAAGTTACGGCACTTTTAAAATGCACCTTGTATTCAGTTAGTTGACAGACGGGAAATGCGGTCTCTGAGTACAATTGTTTACATAACCCCTCATATACACTATTTTTCTTTTAGTGATACCCTAAAGTTATTTGATAAAGGGGTATTTGACACGTGCGCAATTCAAAATCCCCCCCCAAAAAAGCCTAATCGAACTTTAGTAGGTCTTTCTTTACGGCAGTGGTGGACTGGTTGTTAAGGAAGAGCACTTGTGTCCGAGGTATACTGAGCATGGCACCGACCTCTTGGACGTAATCGAACTTTAGTAGGTCTTTCTTTATGGCAGGTATCCTGAGCATGGCACCGACCTCTTGGACACTCATAGCTAAATCTATTTATATAAACTAATTTGATTCTCAGTTAATTATACGTTAAATATATGGTTCTACCATTCCCACTCGAAGAACCTGAAGGTAGAAAATCAATCATGATATACTACTGAAACATCCAGTGTTAGTCTGATGGGAGACTGGTGGGGGGGGTCGATGAAATGAAAAAAAGTATTTATGTGCAATAAAACACTCAAGAACGATTATAAGCAATACATTTATTCCGCAGACGGATATCTACACAATAGTTTTCTGGGATGTTAAAAATCACAACTTCTTCACAGATCTGTGGTGAAACACAGCAGCAAAGGCTAAAGGTCAGTAGTCAGACCTGCGATGATGTCTGGTTCAGAGAAAGTGTCTCTTTCTGTCAAACAAACTGAGCCGGAGGTGGAAGAGACAAGGATGCTGAGATCATAACTGGGAGTGACAAGGACAGACAGGATTAGAACTGAAAACAGAAAGTGGGCGATGGTGGGCAAAGGATGTTAGAAATGGTGCTGCCATGAAGTGGGGAAGAATAAGAAGACCTCACAGATTTGTGGATGTGATGAAGTGGGGAAGAATAAGAAGACCTCGCAGATGTTGTAAAAGTTGTTGTAAAACATGGAGATAAAGTTAAGAGTAAAAGCAGATGAGGCAGGTGATAGGCTGAAATGGAGGAAGATGATCTGCTGTGGCAACCCCTAAAAGTATCTTCTTATTGCATTTTTTTAAAAATCATAATAGCTAACAATTAAACAAAAAATTACTTACTTAAATTACTGTGCTTAAAATGGTAATGAGGGCTTTTTGAGATGGAGATTATTTCACTTGAAAAATTGAAATAAGCCATTTTCCACACAAGATATGCTTTTCTGTTTAAATGGTGTTCTTACAAACATGTAACTTATTAGTGCATCATAACAGGGATGAAGTTCACTGTTGTCGGCTCAAGCCTCTGTCATTCATCCTCAGACCGCAGCCTACAGGAAGTCCCTGTGTTGTTCAAGTAAGTGATTTAGCCCATGTGCTGTAAGAAAATAGAATTAGCAGCTGCTTCATGCAGTTCGCGATGTTTTGAGCTGTGTTGTTCAAGTAAGTGATTTAGCCTATGTGCTGTAAGAAAATAGAACTAGCGGCTGCTTCATGCAGTTCTCGATTAAAGATGCTGCTGCTTCTGGATGCACCACCTAAATCTGAATGAACCTGATGAAAGGTACTGGTATTGTTCTAAATGTCGAAGTCGAAGGTCTATACTGAAGTGATATATTATCAATGTAAAAAGAATTCATTTTTGTTGTGTTTCATTTGCTTAAACTGCATTAACTATATAAAACGGGAGACTGTATTAGGGTACATCAACTGCAAGCATTAAATCTACATGGGAGGTCTGTAGTGGTCCTCAATTAGTTCCTGCTCTACAGGTGGAGTTGTTACATTAAATAAACTAGTGAATTTGAAAGAAAGTTTTTTTTTTTTTTTACACAACTTTGTTTGCAAACAATATAGTTATCATTAAATAGGTAAATCAACAAGGCAGTCTTTGCACCTTTGTTAAGATCTTCATCTAGACTGTTTGGTCTCGATGACCTGCAAACACCGAGCCCGTGGCCGGGTTTTAGCTTTTTGTGCAGTGTTGTTAAGCGTTGGTGTGTATGTATTCAGTAGGTTTAAACAGTGTGTCTGATTAATGTGTTCTGGCAGATAACTGGTTGGAGGGAACACCGCTGGAGGAAGGGTATTACAAAAACGGTTGGGTGGGAAACTGAGAGTAGATGTGGTGTAGGGTGAGAATTGAGGCAGCGCCGGAGGTAGAAATGGCAGAAACGCTGGATGAGATACTGGCGGCGGGGCTGGAGAAGGTGTTGGGAAAGAGGTGTGGTCTGAAAGAGGCGTAGAGAATATAGTTGGCGCAGGAAAGCTGGGAGATGGAGCTGAGGGCAGTAATGAAGGAAGAGCCGAGTAAAGCTGATGTGAACAGTCCACGGGACAGTACATCCCTGACGGCAGAGTAAAAGGTGGTTCTGCTACACTGTCCGTGTTAGCTGTAGAAAAAGTCTCCATGGTAGTAGCACTTTCTTGAGAGTTTAGTTTAACTTCCTCGCAGTCCTGCACAGAAGTGTTGGCACTGTTTACACCATGCATAGCTCTCTGAAAAACATGGATTTGTTGCGCCGCTGTTCCATGTCTTTGTGTACAGGAGTCATTATTTAGGTAACTGTCTCCGGTCAGAGTGCTGTGAGTAGATCCATTTGAAGATGATGAAGACCTTCTTAGATTTGTTGGGAATGCATCTTGTTTACTGCAACCCTCCTTACTCTCTCTACGGCAGCAGCCTTGATCATTGTCCTTCTTTCCATACAAGCGCTCCTGGATTCGATTTGACATTTGGCCCAGCTCCTCAGATCCTAAATCCACACCGATGGCTTTCAGAACATCTTGCAGTTGCCTGTGCTTCTGTTCATCTTCTTGAATCGTGGCTTTCTTTTCCATGACTGATGGAGACCTGGATCTGCTGTGGACGCCTTTGTCGGTTTGTTCTTTGTCACTCCTCCGGAGAAACCCTTCATTACGCTGATGCGTTTTATTTGAGCTGTACGACGTTCCGTGGAGCTGCGGAGAAGACACTAGCTCTGATCTTTCGCCTTCTCTCCTGTGGTAGTTGTTCTGGAGGCCTCCATGTTGCTCTTCAAAAGACTGGGGAGACGGTGGGCAATGTGCAGAGTCGGCAAGAAAAACTGTGGACTGTTGACAGTCGTTGCCTTGCTGAGGATTTCGAGTCACGATCTTGGTCAGCATGTCTACATTCACACCCTTGTTCAGCAGATCAAGGAATCGCTGGAAGCCTTTGTTTGACTTCTCAGGAGCAGCAGGACTTAGTCTGTTCTTGTGAGGTTTAAAAGACTGATGAGAGACAAACCGCAGAAACCAGATTACAGAGACAAGGTCTAAGGTGCAGTCTCACGTGGTCTGACAAAACAAAGATGGCAAACCACAAACACAACAGAAGCTTGGGGAACACACTTTCCTTAGTAAAGAGAACCCTTATTCTTGAATAAACAGGCCGCTACGTTGAGCTTCTCCCCTGAGACATTCCCAGTATATCCTCTAGTTCTTTAAACCTCCGGCACTATCATAATGAAGTAACTTGTCAAATTTACATCTACTGACTGATCAGGACTTTAACAAAGTGAGAGCTAAAAAACAGAACTTTCAAATAGCTGTTGCGGGGCCTTTTGGTCAATTCTAAACTGGAAAATAAAACACAGCAACACGAGTAATTTCCTCAGAAGGATTACATGCATGTAAAACTTAAACATACATAAAGAATCTGTGAACTCAACTCAGCTCAATTTGCAGGGAGTGATAATGAAGCTATTGAGGACCATCACTTTCTATGCGTATCCTTACAGTAGATACTGTCATCCTCCTGCCAAAGGTTTTTGGCCACTTACATTATTATACAGTGTTCCCTCTCCTATCACGGTATTGGTTGGATTCCAAGACTCACCACGAAAAGGGAAAACCGCGTAGAGGCCAAAGAGTTATTATATTATTTATGTATAAATTTACCCTTTACGCACCTCCCCAACAGTGTTATCAACCCTTCCTGGACTGTATTATCCTTTCCCACACGATTATAAACAATGTAAAATACATTTTAATTATAGCTCCCCCACACTGTTATCAACCCTTCCTGGACTGTGTTATCCTTTCCCACACAAGTATAAACCATGTAAAATACATTTTAATTATAACTTAAAATGCAATGTACATGCACATTGTGGGGGCGTGGCAGAGGTTAGCTCTGGTCAGCTGCAGGAGTAGTACAATTCGAGTGATCAAGCCTCTCCTTATCCCTTTCATGCATGACGGTCACTACAGTGGACAGCTATTAAAATGTCATTTTCTATGATAAGAATAGGTTTTGATGGCAGTGTTGCATATAAGCCTCTACAGTGGATGCCTGAGAATCACCCAACACTGCCATACAGTGGTCAGCCTTTGTAACTGCAGAATAATTGTGTTAACATTCAAAAAGAAAATTTGGTGTATAAAAACAGAACCAAATCAGTTCTTATTTTTATGTGTAAAAACACATAAAAACACTTAGTAACATTTTTTTAACTCTGTATATCATGGGTCATGCATCAAAGGGTTAAATTAGTAGGAGCCAGTACCAAGGAGAGAGGAGAGTGAACAGGGGCATGCATACTGGCCAAGACTGATGGACCGTTATTGTACAGAACAATAAAAGCTGTTAACTGTCATCTGTGTCAGCGTCTTCGTTTGGGCTTAGTAACAGAAGCCTGAGAAGATGCACAGTGTTTAGGAGGGTGTTAAATTAGGGTAAACTTTCACCAAACAAGAGCACAAACTTTACAGCAACACATTATATATGGGCGTGAACGAGTGGCAGACAGACTAGGGGAGATGCTGAGAGATGCTATGATGCATGAGCCAATCAGCGTGAGGAACAGAAGAGCATGCGCTTCTGATAAATGTTTTTTAGTCACAAAAATAATGAGAATATCGCAAATTTAAAAAAATCTCACGAGATTGGGATAAAACAATCTGCGAGTACTGAGGGAGCGAAAGGAGAACCACGATATAGAGAGGGAACACTGTATACACTTTGTATACAACATGTGAGATATGAGAAGTTTCCTTATATTTGATTCCTGATGCAACTATGATGGGGGAAGAAAGGGTTTCTGATGTTGGTCAACACCAGAATTGACTAAAGTTTGGTTGGAATGGCCTGGAAATCTACACAAAACATTTTTGACAATTTACCATGAACTGT